GAGAGAGCGCGAGAGAGAGCGAGGCAGGACTGCCGTCTCTCGGAACGGCCCCTCCTCATCCTCCCCCTACCACCACCATGGGGAGGTCGCCATGGTAACCCCCGTCAGAGCCGTGCCCGCTATGCGGCCCGAAGAAGCCTCTGAGCCTGGAGAGGTGTTAAGGGACGGGCGGTCAGGTGACTCCTCCCACTTAAAGAAAGAAAGCGAGAGAGCCAGGTGTGGCTCTGTCGAACGCCCGAAAAGCACGCCAGCTTCCCCCGACCCCAACAACGACCCCCAGACTGTGTGGTATGAGTACGGCTGTGTCTAAACACTGCAACTAATGGACGTCTATGGGTGTGGCTGTGTCTAAAGACAGAAACCAAATACTCAAGAAAGTCCAAACCTTAGACACAAGACATCAGTCTCTGGACTGTGCCCTTTGTGTTGTGGATAAATAACTCTTTACTGTTAAGCGTTGCTCAAATATAACATCAATTGGAAATCGGTCTAAATCCTGGAAAGCAAAGCCACATTTAAACAAATCTCTGCATGAAGGAGTTCAGTCTGTATTTTGTGGGACAAACGTTTGTAGATGAACAAACACCTCCTGCCAACAGGAGCTGAGGAGCTGCCACAAACAAACACGTTTCACCTCAATCACACCTCAACTGCTGGATCTGTGGAGTCCATTTCCTCTCACCTTTTCATCACAAGCTGAATCTCTCTGAGGCGGATGCAATATGGATTTAACCTCAGTGACTGATGGTCTTTTTAAGGATTTAGACTTGAACGCCACAACACTATAGATGGTCTCTGAGAATGCTGGAATTCATTGGCCTCTGCTGTTTTTATTATCACCGTGTTTACTATGATTCAGCAAGCAGCCTGAGCCCTCAGGAGGGTTTTTTCCTGGGGCAAAGGAAACACCAACATTTTTTTTTTTTTTTTTAAGAAAAGGTGTTGCTATTACTGAAAAAATGAATTGTTGATGCTATGACCAGATGATGGTCCAGATGTTGTAATGTGTGTGCTAATTTTAACACATACAGAAATGGAGATGGAAGCTGAGATGTGATGAGATGATGAGTGTCTAAATCCATAACACTTTAATCCTGCAGGAACAGAGGACAAGTGCTACAGCGGACCAGAATATTAAGGATGGGCTTTGTCTATGAGCTGGAACTATTTGACTGTTGACCGACACACTGTCTGGCCCTACTAATGGATGCCACCAATTCTGCAAAACTGTACACCAGGAATTAGCCAACTCCGAGAGGGGTGACTGAACTAAAGCCAAGGCGACCAGAAGCACCAGAGCGACTGAATGTATCAGATTTCTCCTCCTTTTTCTGTCCTCCTCCTCTCCTCTGTTATCTAGAACAAACACTGGAAGAGACGAGAGATGAGGGAAGGAAACGGAGGAATTCAAGCGAAGAGAGTGGAAGCAAGTGAAGGAGAAAGGGGGTAGAGAGAGAGAGAATAAATGGAGGGATGCTGGGATAGAGAGAGTGGTGGACAGAGGGAGAGACGGATATAGTGATGGGAGGACAGATAGATAAACAGGACAGAGACAGAGGGACTCCTCCCAGTTAAATTACAGTGTTTCTCCCTCCATCTTTAGATTCTGTCCCAGCATGCAACACTCTTGACACTTTACTGGAAATGTTGTTTGGCCCGAGCCAACAAACACACACACCGACACTATGCACACAATCAGTAAAGCACGTTGATATAATAGTAGTTGTTACATGAATATACACACACAGAGGCATTGTCCTTGAGGCGGTTGGTTGTGGCTTCGCTAACCATTGAGCTGGACTTAATTCACACACACATGCGCACACACACTCACCGCTGGGTAAACCACTGTGTTTTGGTTGGGTGTTCTGCTGCACGCTAAGTTAGCCAGACAGTTGTAAGCACTGCACAACAGAGAGAGATAGAGGGAGAGAGAGATTCAGGCTACATCCCACTGTGATCTGGATAGATAGAGTTAGCATGTAATCAATTAGCTTTGGCAAAACAAGGTTTTTAGTTTTATGACTGAACGGAATGCACCAAGTGTTGGTAGATTGCTCTCTTGGTAAACACACCTATTGTGTAATGACATGTCACGTTTAACTGAATGTGTCTGTGTTGTTTTTTGTCTTATTAGGGATCCATGATATGGATTTTTCAGCCGATACAACAACAAAACAACAAACAACAGTTCTGACTCAAAATAACTTTTTTTAAAACAAGTAACCTCACAAACATATTTTGAATACATTCAGCATAAAGCCTGATAACGATAATTCATCAGCTATAATTTCATTATCGGAATGATACATAATAATATCCATTTCCCAATACAGACAGATCACAATATCAGATTTTCCTACACCATTATCATGGCCAAAATAATTCACAAAAATAATATTGTTTTATCTATTGACTATCTATGAATTGGCCAAATTCATCTTTACTTTTATTGTGTTTTGTCTCTTTTTTTGGCAAATAGATCAAACTGTACCCTTTGCAACCATCGTTAAGGTGTGTTTCCCGCCACCTACTATGTTGCAGTGTGAACCACAAAGTGGAAATGAGATGCTAGGTTATTTAAATGATATTACCACGTGTATTATTGACATGATATTACAATTGTAGACAATATTGGTACATGGCGACACACTTAGACCCGATATATGAACATGACAGGGCGATGTACACAAGGAGTCAATGTTCTACTGAAGAC